ACTGTCGCTGGATGCACGATGCATGAGGGATGCCCATATGGCCCTGGCCATGGCTTGCAAGTCTCCGCTGTTGTTCCGCACAGCCATGCCATAGTAGGCTTGCAGCTTGTCGATCATGGCATCCGTGAGGCGACCACGTCCGCCTATAGTGCGCCCATCAGCAAGCTTCTTGCCCGCAAGGTTTTTCTTCAGCTTTCTTAGGCTGGTACCGATGCGTTTTTGAACGTGGCCGACACATTCCTCCTTGACTACAGGCACCTCGGGCCCATACGGACAAGCGTCACGCACAGCCTTAAAACTCTTGGTATCTCCATCACCAATGTAGGTGGTGTACCTCAGCTTGCGGCTCTCAAAGGACCTGGCCCACAGAGTCTTGGCGGCTGCACTCTCCATGGCAGGAGCTGATACAGTGGTGTTGACTGAGCAATCGTGTTCGGCAATCTGTCGATCATAGTCATCTTTGGTTAGCTCTCCCTTCTCTTTTCTAGACGCCAAGTGCGTGCACTTGTGGCAAAACTTTGAAAGCACTTCGCAGTCCACCACTTTGCCGACATCATATGCAATTATAGTGAAGGCTCCGAAGAGCGATGCGAATCCTCGGCGCATCCAGGTACCGTCATAGGAAGCAGCGATATCGCTACCCCCATCTGCTGCGGACACTGCTTTCTCAGCTGCCTCAGTCATGCTACGCTCAGCGACGCTCTTGGACGCGGAATGCAGGCCTTTAGCATGGCTGTAAAATGTCGACCGACTCATAGGTGATGGCATATTCAGTGCACCCGCCAGCTTTACCATTGATTGACGTCCACGGCCAATCAGTCGCATTCCGAATACTGCTCGTCTGTTCACCTCCCAGACCCGATTGAACTTCTTGGACATAAATTCGCTTGCTATGTCGCCGCAGTTAACACAGGAAAGCTCCAGGCATGATGCAAGGCCTCCCCGTTGCGATTCGCTGATCGTGACTGCGCCATTACAGCCACTGCAACAAACTGCAGCTGACAAAAGCTGCTGAAGGCACTCGAGATCAATCAGGCGAAATCCATGCGCCCCTTCCTCACACTCTTCATCCAAGTCACTGTCGGAGGAACTGCTGTCGACTTCACCGCCACTTCCATCACTATCGCTGTTTGAAGACGTGGCTTCAGCTGGCACTTCAAGGTCGTCATCAGACAGTGGCAAGTCAGGAATTTGTTCTGCAGGCGAAATTTCACCAGAGGGAGCCTTCGGCGCCTGAGACACTCCATAGAACGTTCTTTTCCTTTTCTTAGATCGTCCGGGCTTTCCCTTGGCTCTAGACTTCCCCATAGTAGCCAACGAAGGGGTTAGCTCCAAGAAACAATTACTCCAAAACAATTACTCCAAAAGTAACTAGTTTCAACAGCAGAGCGATCAGCTGAGATCATGAGAGTCAAAATTTGAATTTTTTTGAATTTGCGCATGCGCAAAAGTTATCTTGGTTGCCATGGTGACAAACATCGTGCGCGGCTGTCAGTCTGCAGCGCAGAGGAGTACCAGGAGTCGCTCCAGAAAATTTTAATGAAATCGCTCAAAGATTGACGGTAAAAATCGGAATAGTGTGCAAACCTAAATTTTGTAGAAATTTGCTGATATTTCAGTATTTCAAAAACAATTGTGCAGACTTTGCGCGGCTATATCTCCGGAAGGAAGCACCCGATTACGCTCAAATTTTCAGGATAAACCCTTTGGACCATACACAAGACGCTGCCAGTGAAAAAATACAGAAAATCGAAACTTTGTTTTTTGACCCTCTGAACCCAGACTGCCACCTTAAGTTTACGAAGCAGTGGTACAGAACCTGACAGTGCGTGTGTGCTCTGGAAACAGAAAAATCATCCCTGCACTCCCGTTCATGACCAAGAGTACGTACAGGCAACCTCTGGGGGACTACATACTCATTGTGCTGTATTGCATGTTTGGCATTATACATTGCGTATGGGCATTGCACAACTAATACTTACTTTGTCATGTACAATGTAGTTTTGCTGTAAAGTGTCATTAGTTTCGCTTATCAGGTTCATGCTAGCCAACACGAATGTTCATCAGAATCGTTAATTAGGACGTTATCACTGGCGTATCATCGCTGTTGCTGACATTCTACCTGAGTCTGGCAGACAGGTCCCTGTCACCAAATGTCCGCACGTCTGCATTGTGTTCGTCAGAATTAGTTGCCCACGGACATGACTTGTTAAAAAGCAGTGAAATAAAATGAATACGGCGGACCGGATTGAGTGTATGGGTACATGATTGTACAATGTACATGTACTGTATGTCGCTGCCAGACTTAGCATGTACATGTACATGTATCGCTTCCTTCGTGTTGACTCCCATAGATTTTTGCAATCCATGTACATGTACATGTACATGTACATGTACATTGTACAGGTACCTATTAATTTGAAGCAGTCAAATATTCCTGCATACTTCACTCCTTAGCCTGGCTTAGGCCAAGTAGTTAGGGCTATATTGACTGCTTATACATGTACATGTATTTGACTCCTTTTCAGGGATTGTACACATGCTTTGGCTAGTCGCGATAAATCTAATATTGACTTCGTACGAGGTCAATACACATGTACATGTAGGAAATAAAAACCTCGTAAAAGACCTCGGCTTCACCTCAGTCTTTTGCTCGGTTTGTATTTCCTATAATTGACTTCGTACTCAGCAGGGGCGTCGGAAGGCATTTTAGTGTGGTACGGTCAGCCATCTGAAACAGTGAAAGCACAATTCACTCGTGGGGGAGGAGTGGCTGAGCCGAAAATTTTGGAAATTTAGAGCCCAAATCAGTGCATTTTATTGATTTACGGGGTACTTTGGGCAAATAGTGGTACGGTCAATACCGTAGTGACCGTACCGTGTGCGACGCCCCTGCTCAGTCATATATTAGATACTCTGTCACAATTGGTTCACCAAATGTTGCCAACACCACTTTCAAGACCGGACCAATGAATCTTACGATTTCCTTCTCTCTCGTTTGCTGCTGATCGTGATACATGTACATGTACATGTAGGTACATGTATAGACAGCTTGCTTATCAGTGTACATGTACATGTAGTTAGTTTTTCTGTTCTTTGTGATGCTGCTGCCTTATGACACACATGGCGCCCCTACGACCAGAATGGTTATGGGTTATACAGTCATGTACATGTACTCATGTACATAATATGATACATGTACATGTACATGTATCATATTATGTACATTGTAAATAATGCGTAATGTCCCGCAGATTGAGTACATTGTACATACATACATGTACATACATGTAGCAGGCTATGGTCCAGTAATGGCAGTATGGAGCCATCCTCTGGGTTATCCCCTAATACTACTAGTAATCCAATGCACTGCCATTGCCATCATGGTCATTGCCATTGGAGGTGCTATGCCTGGTGACTGCTGTGGTGACGCTTTCTGTCACATTCAGGGCAAGAAGGAAGGCCATTGCCAACCTGCACCATTCATGTTCAAACTCCTGTCACTGGCCAGGGTACTACTGCCTACTGGGTGGCCCAGGACAACCTGTTACCACCTAGGAAGAACCTAGGAAGACAACAACGGGTCTGGTGTGGACCTTGCAGTAGCAGGCTGCCACTAGCAACCTTCATCTTCTTCTCAAACCAAAGTTCCAAGTCTAACAGAAATCGCCAAAACCCTCCACTCGTTCGATATGACTGCACTCGCTGCACAGCGCGTCTGCCAGTACGTCATTTTCATGCTGAAAGTGAAGCTGACTGCATATAATAGTATTAGTATGCAGACAAGGGGCAGAGACGCAGATCACATCTAAAAATACTAGTCCGGGCGTCAGGATCGTCGGACTCCTATCCGTACATGAGTACAATCATGTACGTCTACCTTCATCTGCTTCTGAAGTAACTGTGGCACTGGCAGTCTGACATCCTGATTACGCACGTGACGCAGACAGCTACAAAACGCTCATTGTTTGTAGCTGCCTGACAGTGACTGCACCGATTTACTTACTTATTATTATAAGCACGGTCCTTTACTAGCATTTTTTCAATGTGCCTCCGCCCCGTAATGGAGACTTTCCTTTATTGGAGACTGTCCCATTATTATTTCAATCTCATTTCAGAGGCATGTTGCCATGCCAAATTCATGTCAGACACACACATTTCAGGGTTATTTTCGCCGGTACAGATAATGAATTTACACAGTGTGCTTATAATGGAGACTGAGCACTTCATTTTTTGAATGCCGCCCCAGGGTGTTCTATTCTTGGAGACTGTGCTTATGTTTAGAGATAATACGGTGTGAGGTCTATGAGTATGACTCTATGAGTATGACCATGCCCCACACGGACGGACGGTCGCACCTACCATACCAGCGTAGTGTAGAAGTAGACCTGTACAGGACTTCACTGTCGACATGTCCGTGCAGCAGCCCAGTCTAGTCCATGGTCCAGTTTACACACATGATAGTATTGATACACACGCGCGATGCTACACACGCACACACACACGCACACACACGCACGCACACACAAGTACATTATTTTTTCAGACACACAAGTAGATACACACAGACGAGTCTGCGATCTGTGACAGCGCTCAGCAGTACATGTATGTCACTACGTGGGTCAGCGATCGACCATGGCATGGGCATGGCCTGGGGCGGCCAGGCATTACCGGTACTAGTAGTACTAGTAGAACATGCATGAGCCATGATGCGTCGAGTCCCCGGACGCGTCGACGGATCAACAGCATGCAGAACGCACTGTCATGTGTCTGCAGATTAGTGCAGAATGATCTACATACTGTAGTACTGACTGTACTCGATCGAAGATGCTCATCCTGGCATCCAGTCCACCATGATCTACCATGATCTACTGACTGTATCACCCAAGCATCATGATGTATCATGCCCACATGTCCCTCTTCGTTTGCGATTTGGTTACACTGAACTACACTAGTACTAGTAGAGGCAGATATACACCTGTCCTGTCCTTTGCAGTTTTCAGGAGAGAGAGAGAGAGAGGTCATGGGTATCTCGTTCTAGTTTCCGTTGGGTAAAGGCAGTCTCACCAGCGCTAGTAGTAGTGAGCTGAGCGTGGTGGTGGTGGATGGTGGACGTCTTGCGCAATGGGCGCGTCGTCACCGGTACTATCCGTCATGAAGGTATCTCTCTTGGCTGGCTTCACGGCGCTGGCGCTCTTGACGACAACATGCCAGACATCTCCTGGCGAACGTAAGTAGTTTGTAGCGGTTGTTTGTGTTCGCGTACTAGCGTGCATGCGTGCGTCCGGTACTCATGCGGCATTGGCCGTAGTTGTGGAGGCCATCCAAAACTCAAGCACCGGCCCGTGCCTTCTCTGGGGCGTCGAGTGTTTTGTGACACTGCGCTCTGAGTCAGTCTGATCGATGTGCATCTGCGCCATTCACATAGCTAAGTGTGCTGGATGGCCTGTTGCGGGACCGGCTTAGATTTGTATTCGACTATTTCCTAGATGTTGCGTCGGTGCTCATGGCGCTGGGTCAGTGCAGAGCATAAGGATTGTTTGAGTCTTTGAGATCGTCCGCAACAAAGGCCAAGGGCTGCATGCAGTCTTCTGCAGCGCGGTCTTTCTGCGTAGTGTGGATCAAGAAGACAATGCTAGATGTGCTGATGTAAACTCACTGTTGTGTGTGCCGAGTATACTCACGTCACGGCGCAGTGTTACCGCGTGCACGTGAAGGGAGATGGGTCACGTCGCGTCGGCGGCCTGGACCGTAGATCTACCACGCACCAGGGAACGAATGTTCTTTTCGGCGCGGTGCAGATCCGATGTGCATGCGTGCAGTTTCTACTTAAGGAGGCTCCCACCTAAAGAAGTAAAAATAAAAGGTCCATGGACACCCTGTTTTTTATGCATAGAATGGTGGAGTGATGTCTCTTCTTCAATTTGGTATAGTTTTTAGGTAGGGTCACCAGGCATATAAGAGGTATTTTGGTGTATTTAGTGAGTGTACAATTTCTTGATTTTCGGTAAAAAAAATGGTAAAAAATTTGGTTTTTGACCCAAAGAAGCCTCCTGGAAGGAGGATACTAAGCATTTTCTTCATCATATGTTTAAGAACCACATTTGGAGGTATCTTGGCTACACAAGATAGACTGCGTCTTGGTTTTGCCCTTGGGGAGCCACTTTTTCGAAATTACGGGTACCGAAATTTCCATCGGGTGCTGAATTGTGAAATGGTTCAGCCTGCAACATTTTGTCCATGGACATATTGATTTTTGTGGCTTTCTGTGATCCTTGAGCCCCAAGGAAACCGATAATGGACAGTTTTGATGGTGTCACCAGGCACTTTAGGCCCCTACCAAACAATATAGGTATCAAAATATGGTATTTTAGGCCAATTCTGAAAATAGCATTTTTAGAAAATCTGACCATTCTTGCCTTCTTGACTAAATATCACTACCAATGACATGGTAGTATGGTAATATTATTTTAGAAGAAGTTATTTTCATGCTGCAACCTCCTTTGGACAAACCAGACAGTCTGTGCTTGGAAAGGTACATGTATCATTACATGTACATGTATGTCATGTAGCCTTCAGTCCTATGACATTGATGTACGAGTAGTGTACATGTACATGTAAGGCAGCGAGGTTTCATAACAACCTCGACCATGAAACTGGCACATGAATAATGTGAAAGCAGGCATTCAAAATAAGGCACACTAAACACTCACACGCGTGCGCACGCACATAAACACCCACCCACATGCACGCACTCTCATGCACGCATCATTGTAACACTACTAGTCCATAGCAGGGCTTAGTGTAAATAAAAGCCTGAAGACCAGCCACTGCACTGGGCGTGCATTTGCTGGTTGTCACTTGCGTTGATAGCAGCAGACTCCAGAAAAACATTGCATGAAGGGCAATATGCATCTACACACGCTGGCGTGCACATATACGATATACATGTAATGTACTGTCATGCTCTCTCGGCAACTCTTTTTGTGTCTCAAATACGGTTCACAAATGCGCATTCACATGCAACTCCTGTACTGTAAAGCCATTACCACACTGTCCTTGCGGACACCAGAGAGGCATACAGAACCAGCACCGTGAGCCACCCCCCCCCCCCCTTCCACACCTAGCTTTGCACACGCACACATGCACGTGCATACACACATACATGTACACAGACATTTGCATGCACATGCACACAGTGCACTCGTGGGGACATGTGCATAACCCAGATCAACATTGCGTGCGAACCCACACATGCGGGCACGAGCACGCGCGCACACACACACTCGTACACCTGCCCAACGCTGAAGCGAGGATAGCGAACAAACTACGTTAGACATAGCAACTTGTGCTCGGATTACACCTTTCAACAGCTTGCACACACACACGCGCATGCGCGCGCGTACACACACACACTCGCGCGCGCGCGAGTACACACACACACATGCGCGCGTACACACACACACATGCGCGCATACACACACACACACACACACACACATGCGCGCGTACACACACACACACACAAACGCATGTACTTGCGCATAGAAAAGGATTCAAAGTAATCAACCACAGGCATTTACCCAATACACACCTGAGTGTGCACATCTTAGTTGTGGCATCCCCATTTTTACAAAAGCAGGATTTAGAAGTTCGTCCCTGGTTCAGAACACAAGCCTCTGGCCAGCGTTTTCCTTACACCATCAGTGCAGTACAGTGGTTGACACGAACCTCATTCCTACAGGGACAGTAGCCCAAGTTCAGCAGCTCTGAGATGCGTCGTCCACTGAGCTCAGGATACTCTAGGATCCACAGAAACAGTTTCAAACGGCACTCGTGCGACTGGAGCTGCAAGTGGGTCCACTTACCAGCGAGTGGGCAGCCACTTCACGCTCCACAGGTAGTCCATGCTAAATTCCAGTGCCAGTACTAGTATCACTACGTTCGACATCGATGTCTTCACTGACTTCAGCCTGCTTTTCTCACCCTTCTTCGTCAGTAATATATTTGTTCTTCGTGGCCACATCGTACCGCTTCAACAAAGTTTTCACAAAAAATCAAGCAGCGCAGGAACTGCCTTTGTTTAGCATTAGCCATGGCCAGTGATTCTTTCCAGCGTAGAAACAGCCACGGCTACAGAAACACTGTAACGAGTAGAACTACATCCTGGAACAACTGCGAGCACAGAGAAATCAAAAAACTTCTTTCTGAACAACAGCTTATTTCCGCATGGAACACAACATTTTTCGAATCTCGCGGCAAAAAACAGATTTCGGAGGTGCCCTTTTTACACTGCGCTGCGCAACTGTTCGGAGCCTCCTTAACTGTTCATTGACATAATCATTGGGATTGTGTCGACTGATCGGAGTTGTGCGAGCTGTGGTGTGCACTGTATTTCGTTGGGAAATGTTCCTCTTGCGCATCATCCTTCCTGTGCGTGCTTCAATTATGTGTATGTGTCGAGTGCGGCGCAGTTCTGCGTACGCCACTGCGATATCTGAAAAACAAGGAGGCAAACACACACACGCACACACTCACACACTCACACACACACACACGCACGCACAAAATGGAAAATGGAAAATGAAAAAAACCCCCAATGAGACACACACACACACACACAAACAAAATGCACATACAGCATTGCTTTTGCATTGGATATCCGCGGACAATTGTGCGGGCTGACTGTTTCCCCCATGTTCTTAGCGGGTGTATTCACGTTGCACATTCCGAGCGTCTATGCCCACCACTTCACTATTGTAACGTAGCAATGTGTGTGTTGTGAAATTGTGCCTGCAATACTGCCTAGGTTAATACCACAACAGCGAGAATCCCATAAAGAGAATCGATAATTATTATTGCCACCTTGCATGCAGCGATGACTGCTTTGTGTACTGAATTCATGAAGTCAGAGTTTCATTGTTGACAGCCGGGCACCCTGCAGAGATGCATCCTGATTGTGTTAATGCCCCCTAGTCCACATAGGCACTTGTAGTGCATAGCTGTGTGTGCGCTGTGGCTGCACTGTCCACAATTATGTGTTGCTGTGTGCATGTATGAGTGTACCAGAAGGTGTGCTGCTGCTTCAACGCACACTTGTGCCAAAGTGGCAATGACTATGTGTATCTGCAACTCCACAGGGAGTCCTAAACAAGCATAGTTTATGGGCCCATAACATAATCACAGACTAACACAATCATACTGTATAACAATTTTAGGTGCATTCAAATTTCGGTGTCAGGGACCTGCCCAGGTTTCAGCTGTAATGTAGAATTAGGTGACCAGTCTACCCTTCTCATGCAGTGTGTACTCTAGAGAATGTTTAGGTGTTATCTAAATTTAGGTGCCTGGTTTCTGTACGGAAATTACCGAAATAAAAATTACCACTCAAGGGACCCTACACATGTGGTCAGGTGGTTTTCGTATCCAGGTTCATTTGACTTGAAACACCAGCTTTTTGTCCTAGTGTTCCTTATGCACATTGTACAGATGTACGAAGTTCTGTACTAAGGTCGTAGGTGTGTACATACCCGGTTGGGTGTTCATTGTGTGCTATACATGCACATTTGACCAACTTAGCCTCATTGTCGGGAAAAGGTTTTGTATGAAATGCCATCAGGGCCCATTTTTTTTTAAGGGAAATAGCAGTCAACACAATAGGGTCCTGCACTGAATCAACACCCAACTTGGTCTATGGGATTCTACGAGCTTCCGTGCATCTGTATACGGTAACGTGCATAAGGCTTGCTAGAGTGGTCTTCTGGGGCAGGTGGTTCGCATTATCAGAGCAGGCGCGTGCGCCGGTGCCCTTAAAGGGGGGGGGGCTTCCGGGGGGTGTCCCCGGGAAAAAAATTCAAAAAATGAAGCAAAATCCTGCATTTTGAGCGAAAAAAGGGGGTTCCGGGCACCCAGGAACCCATACGGGGCACGCGCCTGCAGAGGGTCGCCTTGACCAGGTTTTACTGTATCATAATGCCATGCACACGCCCGTCGCCTGAGAAGCACGCAAGTCTGCAAATGCACAGCATGTGAGCTGTAGTGTTTACTGTAGTACTGTACAAGTATAAGCAGAAATATTCGTCTGGAATTTAATTTCGTCTTTTTCGTCCAAGGAACTTTTTGGACTAAATTAAATGCCGGATTAAAGTCGATGTGTCCAGGTTTTCAATGCACTCTTATGATCCATGGACGAAATTTTCAACCGGACGAACTCCCGTTTTTTTGGAGTTGGTCGAAATTATTGACCGACGAAATTTTCTGCCTGGACAGTAGTTAGCAGTAACACATACAACGCAGGCTGTGTGTGTAGCTGTGACTTCAAGTTTCACGCCGCATTTCGGCGCGATCATCGGACAGCAGCAGTTGGCATTCACTTGTTTGTACTGTTGTAGTTACAGAACAGAACAACAAGGACAATCAAGGCTTGTTTGCTGCTACTTCAAGTTTCATGATGTCGCAATCATCAGGCAACAACTGTACTTGAAGTAGTAGTGCAGGAGTGTATGCTGGGGCATTGAAGGTGACTGGCAAAGGCATGGCGATCATTAGTTGGGAATGCAGGCCGACAGGACCGGCGGACGCAGTTTTTGATTGGCCCATTGAAGGTGACTGGCAATGGCATGGCGATCATTAGTTGGGAATGCAGGCACAGGACCGACGAACGCAGTTTTTGATTGGCCCGGCCATATCCTAGCCTTTCATACAGTTTGTGTATGATCATGGAGGATGTATACATGACTTTCATACAGTTTGGGTATGATATGGAGGGTATGTAAATGTCCTCCTCGGCAGTAAACACACGTTGGAGGTGGCCTAGAAGTTGGTCCGGTCATGGCCGTACAAACCGGGCCGGTTGCCGGGCCTGAGGCATATCACTATCATTCTGGCAGCAGTGCATGCTTGCACTATGTCCTGTGCATGGTCAACTATGGCTGTGTTTACATGAGAAATTTCAACCCAGGTCGAGTTCAGCCCGGGTTGAAAGTCTGTACGATAGACAAAATAGGTGAGTGTTTACATGAAGACAGTTGACCCGGGTCAAATACTGATATGCCGCCAAAAGTCCACTTCTAGAGTCCTGCATGGTCACGTGAATCCGTTCGCGCGAAAATTGCATGTGCAGTGCTGTTCAAACCTGGCGCGAGATACGCACAGAAGTACGTTTGTACGATTTTCTTGACCCGGGAATCAACCCGGGGCGAAATTTCAACCCGGGTCAAGCGCAATGCGTCATGTAAACGCGCCATTCATTTTGTGCACATGGCGGGTTGAAATCTGACCCGGGTCGAACTCAACCCGGGTTGAAACGCCTCATGTAAACACAACCTATGTCCAGTACATGCTTGTGCTATGTGCTGTGCATGGTTGAACTGGACAGTGCATGGTTGCATGGTTGAACTGGACCGTGCATGGTTGAACTGGACTGTGCATGGTTGAACTGGACAGTGCATGGTTGAACTGGACAGTGCATGGTTGCATGGTTGAACTGGACCGTGCATGGTTGAACTGGACCGTGCATGGTTGAACTGGACCGTGCATGGTTGAACTGGACCGTGCATGGTTGAACTGGACCGTGCATGGTTGAACTGGACCGTGCATGGTTGAACTGGACCGTGCATGGTTGAACTGGACCGTGCATGGTTGAACTGGACCGTGCATGGTTGAACTGGACTGTGCATGGTTGAACTGGACCGTGCATGGTTGAACTGGACCGTGCATGGTTGAACTGGACCGTGCGTGGTTGAACTGGACCGTGCATGGTTGAACTGGACAGTGCATGGTTGCATGGTTGAACTGGACCGTGCATGGTTGAACTGGACCGTGCATGGTTGAACTGGACTGTGCATGGTTGAACTGGACTGTGCATGGTTGCATGGTTGAACTGGACAGTGCATGGTTGCATGGTTGAACTGGACTGTGCATGGTTGAACTGGACAGTGCATGGTTGAACTGGACTGTGCATGGTTGAACTGGACAGTGCATGGTTGAACTGGACCGTGCATGGTTGAACTGGACTGTGCACTTTTATTACGTGCGGACTATACAGCTACCGAAGTTTACCAGGTATAAGTTGACCCGCTCATACTCGGGGCCTAGGTATCCTGATTCAATGAGGATTCAACCCCGGTTGTACATGTATGTCGATTTCCTCCTTTTAAGTACACATACTGTATATCACGTTAGTTTCGGTGTAATTTTAATTTCGGTAATTTCGGTAGAGAATTCAGGCAACGGAATTTAGATTACACCTAAAAGGCACTAGAGTATGCACTGTATGTGAAGGGTGGGCTGGTCACCTAATTCTACATTACACCTAAAACCTGGCAGGTCCCTGGTACCGAAATTTTAATACACCTAAAATTGGATGTTATACAGTACCAGCAAGGGGTTCTGTACTCTTGGTACCAGTTATCTATTGTTGTCTGCTCTGCTGCTGTTGTTGCCGCCATCCGGCTACTGCTTCTTCCGCTGCCATTGTTGTTGCACAGGCGAATGTCAGCAGTGGTCAATGGAGAAGAGCTGGATGAATCTATGCTGTCAAAACCACACCACCAACAAGACTTGCTACGATCATTGCCAGCTGGTAAGTTATGCCCTAATAATGAAAATGGACCCATTGCGCAATGACGTAATTTGTACCCTAAACACCCTTCACAGCCACCTGAGCATGGTCGTCTGGGGTGTTGAACAGTGCATTCCCGATCCCAGCGTACTCACAAGCATTACTCATACATTCCATATTTGGCAATGCGCAATGGGTCCATTGCTTGTGCAGGGCCTCCTGGTAAACATAGGCAGTTCATACGCAGTACAGTTGTTCTTGTGCACTTTCCACCTTGATTTCCGTTTTGAACATTTTTTTGACCCGAAAAAGACAAAAATAGTACGCACCCGCTGGGGTGGGCGTTTGCAGCGACATGGACGTTTGCAGCGACATGGACGTTTGCAACGACATGGACGTTTGCAGCGACATGGACGTTTGCAGCGACATGGACGTTTGCAGCGACATGGACGTTTGCAGCGACATGGACGTTTGCTGCGACGTGGACGTTTGCAGCGACATGGACGTTTGCAGCGACATGGACGTTTGCAGCGACATGGACGTTTGCAGCGACATGGACGTTTGCAGCGACATGGACGTTTGCAACGACATGGACGTTTGCAACGACATGGACGTTTGCAACGACATGGACGTTTTCAACGACATGGACGTTTGCAACGACATGGACGTTTGCAACGACATGGACGTTTGCAACGACATGGACGTTTGCAACGACATGGACGTTTTCAACGACATGGACGTTTGCAACGACATGGACGTTTGCAACGACATGGACGTTTCGAACGACATGGACGTTTGCAGCGACATGGACGTTTGCAGCGACATGGACGTTTGCAGCGACATGGACGTTTGCAACGACATGGACGTTTGCAACGACATGGACGTTTGCAACGACATGGACGTTTTCAACGACATGGATGTTTGCAACGACATGGACGTTTGCAACGACATGGACGTTTGCAGCGACATGGACGTTTGCAGCGACATGGATGTTTGCAACGACATGGACGTTTGCAGCGACATGGACGTTTGCAGCGACATGGACGTTTGCAGCGACATGGACGTTTGCAACGACATGGACGTTGGCAGCGACATGGACGTTTGCAGCGACATGGACGTTTGTAGCGACATGGACGTTTGCAACGACATGGACGTTTGCAACGACATGGACGTTTGCAGCGACATGGACGTTTGCAACGACATGGACGTTTGCAGCGACATGGACGTTTGTAGCGACATGGACGTTTGCAGCGACATGGACGTTTGCAGCGACATGGACGTTTGCAGCGACATGGGCGTTTGCAGCGACATGGACGTTTGCAGTGACACGGACGTTTGCAGCGACATGGACGTTTGCAGCGACATGGACGTTTGCAGCGACATGGACGATTGCAGCGACATGGACGTTTGCAGCGACATGGACGTTTGCAGCGACATGGACGTTTGCAGCGACACGGACGTTTGCAGCGACACGGACGTTTGCAGCGACACGGACGTTTGCCGCGACACGGACGTTTGCAGCGACTTGGGCGTTTGCAGCGACACGGACGTTTGCAGCGACACGGACGTTTGCAGCGACACGGACGTTTGCAGCGACACGGACGTTTGCAGCGACACGGACGTTTGCAGCGACATGGACGTTTGCAGCGACATGGACGTTTGCTGCGGACTGAACGATAATCACATAACCCCTATGATTACTGTAAAACCGGAAAGTTTAACGACCGAAACGTTAACGTTTTTGTAATTTTGGCATGATAACGTGCAGAAAGTTTAACGATGGCTACCTGGCCACCCATCTGTATGCACATCTTTACACTGACATCTCGCGATAACGTTTCTTCAAATGACCAAAAAATTGGTCGCTAAAACGTTAGACTTTGTGACTCGTTAGACTGTCCGGTTTTACAATATCTAGTGCCATGGCAAAGAAGCAAATGACAGATAAGCAACCCAAAGATAGAGAAACTTGGAAAAAGGAGAAGCAAAAGGGATCAGTGCAATCACTGTACTTGAATTGCATCTGTATTTCCTTGTCTTTTTTGGTGATTGGTTTACTCCTTTGCAGGTTATAGCTGGGTTTGGTGGTAAGAAGGCTACAGCAGAAACTACTGGGATGGCACTCAACATAGCCAAGCAGAAACCGGAGTGTGGTCTTATTGGGGTGAGTTCACTGCTCGTTTTGCTTTGGTGTGTGCGCGCGCGCGCGCGTGTGTGTGTGTATGTATGCGTGTGTGTATGGCTGAGCCGAAAATTTAGAGTCCAAATCTGTGCATTTTATTGATTTGCGGGGTACTTGGGGCAAATAGTGGTACGGTCAATACCGTAGTGACCGTACGTACCGTGTCCGACGCCCCTGTGAAGCCTATACATTCAGGTCTTGATCTCTGTGTTGTTGCTGTGCCAGTGAAGACTGTGTATACATTCAGCTCTTGGCCTTCTTGTTGCTCTTGTTGTTGTTGTTGTGGTTGTGTGCGTGCAGGGTTTCACCCAGTGCATATTGGACAGGGAAAAGCATTGTGAGTAGTACGACTACAAATGAGAGTCCTCCGGCTCGGTAGAGTGCTCGATATTCGTTCCGAACGGTTCGAATAGAGCTATCTTACACACGGCACAGCGCACCAAGAACGATGCTTGGTGCTCTGTGCCGTGTGTGAGTAGTAAGACGAAGTGTGCACTACATGCACATAGCTTGTATGTGGTCGGCGTAGTCAGCAAATGGCTGTCATAGTTACTACATAGTCAAGCTAAAATCCTGACCAACCGCCAAAACCCCAATCCCTTGACAAGACATGCAGAATCCCTGGATTTCTCTCAAAATCCCCGGACTGCACGAAAACAAGTGAAAAACAGTTTTTCCCGGCAAAAAAAACGTTCTACAGCATACTGATAGACTCTGCGTACAGCACAGTGCGACCGTGCATTGCAGTGCGACCCTGCATTGCAGTTCGATCAGTTGGCGCACACCTAGCACACCTGTCAGTGCAGATCGTGCAGGCTAGCCTGGTCTGGTCTCAGAAAGTGCCGTGCACAGTTTTCGTAGGTATGTGCACTGCAATAATTAGAAAAACCGAAAGAAAATAGGAGCATGTCGGTCCTGATGCTTACACTGCCTTTGTAGGAAGAGTGTAGAAAGCTGTCTTCAGCATACAGTCTATATACGGTAATGCATGTAGTGCCAACAGTCTACGTATACTTTGAGTACAGCGGCGGACCCAGCGATCTCCACAGGGGTGTTCCAGTATAGTCAAAGCTGAATAGCTGATGCATGTGCATGGACAGGCATGTGGTTGCCAGTGCAGTAGTACGTTTACGACATTTAGGGGGTTCCGCGGAACCCCTGGAACCCCCCCCCCCCTGGGGTATGTGCAAGAGAACATGAAACCCGGTGTGTGCAGCTCTGATGGGTTGGTGGCGCGGCGACATTCCGTGATTACAGCATTTTAAGTGATGTAGGGCGTACAAGCAGGATTCAAGCCGGTCTCTTTCTGCACCACTGCAGCTCAGTTGTACGCACTACGCCACTTCCCGCCTCAGATCTGCACCAAAAGTGATGTAATCACGGAATTCTGCCATGACAGACACCCATCGTGGAAAAAGCCCCAAGCTGCACACTTTGGTTTTCATGTGCTCTTGATGTGTGTAGGCATATTAGGTATCAGGGATGTGCCATGTGTGAGAAGTCCTTCAGATTCGGCCAGTGCTCTCTCTTCTGACTTGAACCTGCGATGCGCGACTTTGTACTTTCCCTGTGTGTGTGTGTGTGTGTGTGTGTGTGTGTGTGTGTGTGTGTGTATGCACGTGTGTGTGTATATGTTTGTAGTTCCACCGCCTGTCAGTGAGCTCTCTCTTCAGAAATGTACTTCGAAAAACTGCACAAGACCAGGTAAGTTATGTGCATTGCATTGCGGCTGCAAATACATTAGAACCTGTCAAGGTGACCACTCGGATAAGGCGACCACCTGTCCTAGAAGACCACTGAAACCAGGATCAAGGGATGCTATTTCCAGTCAAGTGACACTGGCTAAGGAGACCACCTGGTAACAGAGACCACATTATGGATGTACAGTCAACTTCGTTTATAACGACATTCGGCGGAGCATCAAAAAAGGTGTCCTTATTTGCGAAGTGTCGTTATACCCGAAGTCTCGTTATATGTATTACAGTGGGATGGGACTTTGCTCTGGGCATGGAAATTCTGTCGTTATTCGCGAATTGTCGTTATATCCGCAGTCGTTATTAGCCAAGTTGACTGTACAGTCAGACCTCGCATAACCGCACACATCCGTTTTCCACAAAATTATCCGGATAGGCGAGGGAACCGGATAATCGAACACACATACTGTATGTAAGCATGGCATATGCTGTACATTTGTAACCAATGATTTTCTTCCGGATGGCGAGGGATCCGGATAAACGAGGACCGGATATGCGAGGTCTGACTGTACATAGCTTGAGTGGTCGTCTAAGACAGGTTTCACTGTAGTATGCACCTTAGCCAGGGTCATGAGAGTGGAAATAGCATCCCGGCTTGATCCTGGTTTCAGTGGTCTTCTAGGACGGGTGGTCGCCTTATCCGAGTGGTCACCTTGGCAGGTTCTAATGTATTTGTTTTTGTCCTGGACGTTCAGCGCCTGATGTCATTTCTTTTTCTGCAAGATTTATACACCGTGCACTGGGCAGTGCATCCACACTTGCAGAAAGGCACACTGCGGGATGGACTGTAGCCTCACCACCACTGCCACGGTTCAGGTTGTGCGTGCTTCCCCTAGCTGCATCTCATGTTTGGCATTTAAATGGTCTTTGTAAAAAAATAAAATAAAAAGCCGATAAGAAGCCCCCATATCGCTGATCTTTAACTGCACCGGACGTGTGCTGGGTTATCGTATTCCAACCAACGCATGCCTTTCAATACCTTTGCAGCAAGGGCGTCGGACACGCAACGGTCACTACGGTATTGACCGTACCATTCTTGGCCCCGAGTACCCTGTGAAGTAGAGACTCCCCCCCCCCCCCCCCCACACACACACCTCTAATATACCTCAGACTGCGGACCGTACCACCCTGAACTGCCTTCCGACGCCCCTGCAAGTTTGTAACTACAGTAAAACCTGTAACTAAAGACCACCGTGACTAGCGACCAGCCTGGTACTACAGTAAAACCTGTAACTAAAGACCACCGTGACTAGCGACCAGCCTGGTACTACAGGCCACTTCCCCAGGCACGGACGGTCTCACATTCATATATGGTTGCGCGGCGCAAACCTCTCACTAAGGACCACCTGCCACTAAAGACCGCTTTCTCTGGCCCCAAGGGGTGGTCGTTAGTCACAGGTTTTACTGAAGTTATTTCATTCTTCTGTTCTTGTTGTTTGCTGTGCGTGTGCTGTAGAGTATACATCTGACCACTGGTGCTGTAATCTTGCCAAGACGACGACGTGTAGACAAGCCTGCCAGTCTGTAAGTGTGTGACGAGATTTAGAACTTACGATGATAACTTACTGGTATTACTCGTGTCACGTAAGGATGCCGGTGTGAGGGTGCGAGAAATGGCGGTGGTTTGAAGGCAATAGACATAACTCTTGATCAGTGGTAACGCCACTTTGTCTCTTCATGTATAAAGTTTCAGTACCTTCAAGTGCCAATTTCGCGCGAATAGCACTGGTTTTTGATTGCAAGTGCACAACACCAAAGGTGATGATCCATTTATCCACAGATGAGGCTGAGCTGAAATCGTTTAGGAAAATGTTTTGGCAGTTCTGTGAGTGATGAAGCTAGGTGCATTGGTGCTCTGGGTGGTATGCGTTTGTGGCCAACAAGGCTCTTCAATAATACTTCACACAAGGGTCGTAGAAGACATCGTAGGCAACCTGGTTCCAACAATCACTTGATTGAAAGACAAAGAGACAAAAGACAAACGACAAGAAAACCTGAACAAGAAGGCCCGAAAAGGACCAAGATGTCCAGAAAAGGATAAAGAAGATAACGTAGTACCAATTATCGTACAACACAGCAAGATGCGGGGGAACCATGCGCGCGACCGCGCGGGTTCACAAAAGCTCCCGTGGAACAGATATGGATACGTGATGTCAAAGAAAGCGAAAGGGTCAAGAGTACAAATCTGACACGGCTTTCTAGATATGGATACGTGATGTCAAAGAAAGCGAAAGGGTCAAGAGAACAAATCTGACACGGCTTCTAGAAGACACACTACACTACTACGTCATGAGTACGCGACTGCACAGTCAGCGTAACTATAGAAAATATGGCGACTGGTCTGCAAGCAACGACCAGGTGCAGAACAAAATCAAACAAACAGAAATATTCAAAATACGGTTGTGAAAGAAAGAAGAAAAGAATGAAGCTGAAGGGTTACACCTGTCAGAGGGTGTTAGCACCCGACGCTGGGTGACAGCAAACCCTGTCAGGTAGTGGTAAATAATCCTAACACTTCTGCAGCCGAACTTCAATCGCAGCGAAAATACATCTCAGGTAAGAAACTCTAAAACTCTAGCAATAATTCGAGAGTCTCAATCTATCGTGATCCACTCGCAACACACGCATGCAAACAACTCGAAACAGAGAATGTATCGGTCTGCGACAGCGTTATTGTCTAGCAGTGTGTGTGTGTGTGTGTGTGTGTGTGTGTGTGTGTGTGTGTGTGTGTGTGTGTGTGTTTGTGTGTGCACATATGTGTGTGCAAGCGTGTATATGTGATGAAACTGGCAACATTTTAGCTGTGTGTGGTGCGTAGGTGTGTGTATGCATTCATCACATCTAGTGTGTATTTAGCTCGATGACATCTTCTGACATTGTATGCGTCATGACTGGTGTTGATAAGATGTGGGCGCTTTATTTTTATGGAAAAGAAAAAGGACCAAGGAACTACAAGTTACGTCCACTAACACCACCAGTTACTAAACAATCAGCTCGTGCGATAACATTGCACGACACTGACCGACGGTATTGGCGTTCTACAACTAACTGGCTAACAGTTCTAGCACATCTTGGATGCGCACTCCAACAGTTCCTCGGTCCTTTTCCTTTTTCTATAAATATACCCTTGGCTCTCCATCCGAGTCCATTCCTGCCCTTTATTTTGTTGTTTCATTCTCTTGTCAGTTTGGGAAGGTCCTGGCTCGTGCTCAGTCTAGCATTGCATTCAAGGAATGTCAGAGATCTGGTGATGAGATGGAAATGTCGGTGTGCATAGAGCAGGGTAAGCCAGACGTGTGTGTGTGTGTGTGTTTGCGTGTGTGCGTGTTTGTGTGTGTGTGTGTGTGTGTGTGTGTGTGTGTGTGTGTGTGTGTGTGTGTGTGTGTGTGTGTGCGTGTGTGTGCATGCGTGAGTGTATGTGTGTGTGTGTATGTGTGTGTGTGTGTGTGTGTGTTTGTGTGTGTGTGTGTTTGTGTGTGTGTGTGTGTGTGTGTGTGTGTGTGTGTGTGTGTGTGTGTGTGTGTGTGTGTGTGTGTGTGTGTGTGCGTGCGTGCATGTGTGTTTGTGTGTGTGTGTGAGCTAGTTCGGTTGGTGGGTACATTTATTCCTGATTGTGTTGGGTCTGTTGTCAACGGGCTCGGCTGCTTGAATGTGTAATGTTGTACCTGCCACTTTTGTTGGTTGCAGGGTTCATATACTTTCTATTTGAAGTATAAATACCTGTTGACCATGGAATGCTTCTGGCTAGATTAACTCTTTTGTAATCAGTGGTGCTAGTGAAGCTTATATCAGATCATCTGATTTAGCCACCCACGCTAGTAGCAGGTATTACCTTCACTGGGGGCAGGGGTAACTGCAGTTGGATCCCCGGACGGATACCCTGATGCCGTCAATCCTTTTTCTGCACCTTGCCTTCACACACTTACTGAGGTGTGAGCCCATCGATGGGATCATTTCCAAGTCCACGCAGAATCTGGGGAGTTCAGGGGGTTGGACGTTGGATGGTTCAATCGCCAATTGTGCGTGCACTTATCTTTGTAGCACACAAAGAGACAAAGCCAGTTGAAAATCTGATGAGGCCTTGTGTACCATTCCTTCTCAAATCAGTACAATGGTGATAATGTGACGAAGCACAACGATGTCAATTTATAACTGGCTTCGTCTCTTCGTGTGCTAACATTTTCCCCTCCGACTATGTCTCTACTTATCTGTTTGTATGTGATCATTGAAATAATGACGTGTATGTTTGTTCTCTGCTGTGCTGTCATCATCATGTCGGCACTGCAGACAAGTCGCCGGCAATGCCTGCCTGCGATGGCATGCTCTTCTGCAAAAACTTCAGTCGGTATGTACAGTACAACCTGTCTAGGCGAACACTCTGATAAGGTGACAACCTGTCCTAGAGGACCACCTGTACTAAGACCAAGGTGCATTATTTATCAGCAGCCACTGTACCACACACCATGCACGGCCATCTTTAATCTGGCTGCCATGGCAATCGGTACTCGCCTGGCATGAAAAGCTGCATAATGCCAAAGCCAGGCACACGTATCCTCAATATGCGGATACAGTACAAGCTGTCAAGGTGACCACTCTGATAAGGCGACCACCTGTCCTAGAGGACCACTGCAACTAGGACCAAGGGGAATTATTTGTCAGCAGCCAATGTACCGCACACCATGCACGGCCATCTTTGATCTGGCTGCCATGATAATCGATACGGGTAGTACTCACCTGGCATGAAAAGCTGCATAATGAGGACCACTAGAACTATAGAAGCTATAGCAGAGAAACTGAGGACCAGAGAACTACACGTTACGTTTTAATGTCCACTAACACCACCAGTTACTTGACAATCAGCTCATGCGATAACATTGCACGACGGCGCTGACGTTCTTCAACTTACTGCCAATCAGCTCTAGCACGTCTTGGATGCGCACTCCAACAGCCTTCCAACTTGGAAGGTTCTAAGTTAGAGTAATAACATAGGAGGGGAACAAAGGGCCATGTCATGGTTTTACTGTATTCAATCGGATTCAGAACGTGTGGCAGCTAGCCGAACACTAGACTGATGGCTAGCGTTGACATCCAGCGGACCAGTACTTGGCTCCATCCTGTCTTGGAGGTACACACCAAGAGTTCCTGATTCAGAAGGCTCTTGGTTGTGGACTACCTTTCTATATTTCAAGTAACTTGTTAATGTAGCTCTTTGGTCCTCTTTTCTTCTTTTTCAAGTAAATTTTACCCTTGGCTCTCCACCCAAGTCTAGCATTTCAACTCACTCCTTGTTATAGTAGTTGTTTACTTTTGTTTGTTTTTCTCTCAGGCCGGGTATGTCCTTCAACAATTGTTCGCTAAGTGCAGACATCGAGGCGTTGACGCAGTACAGGCGCTGGCTGGATGAAGGCAAAATTCGCTTCAATGGCGTCGCTGCCGGCATCAACATTTCCAGGTGCCTGACGTCCGACGTCTGGAAGGTGAGAATATATCCACGTCGTGACGGCCGACAGTTACTGTCCCTTCAGCAAAGATCTGGGTTGCTTGGGGTTTCCCCTATTTAGGCACCCAAGATGGCAGAGGTCGTATCTGTTCACGGGGAGACAGATGAACCCCGGGACATACCACCCTGGGGCCTAATACTTACAACTCCGAGGAGAGGGCAACTTTGTTTAACAGTTGTTGTTTATTTTAGAACAAAGAGGGGCCATTTGGAGAGCTTTTAGAATGCTGTGGTTGCACACGTTCATGTGGTCAATGTAGAGAACACGGTGAGACTGCTGTTTCCTCGGGGGCTGGCTTGACAACAACACACCAATGTCAACCAATGTCAACTGCAAGAGCGAAAAGCAATGTAGAGGAAAACCTGTGACTAACGACCACCCCTTGGGGCCAGAAAAAGCGGTCTTTAGTTAGAGGTTTTGACCACTTGGGGCCAGAACATGCGGTCTTTAGTGGCAGGTGGTCTTTAGTTAGAGGTTTGCACCGCACAACCATGAATGAATGTGAGACCGCCCGTGCCTGGCGAAGTGGTCTGTAGTACCAGGCTGGTCGCTAGTCACGGTGGTCTTTAGTACCAGGCTGGTCGCTAGTCACGGTGGTCTTTAGTTACAGGTTTTGCTGTACTTCCTCTAGACAGCTGTGTAGAACTGCGGGAATTCACACTGCATGGCGTGCCCATGTTAGACTGGGGGAATACCCTGAGGCAGGTATGGTAGTGAGCTGCTAACGCCTGTCATTCTGCTATGCACGGAATCTCGTATCTTGTCAGCGATACGAGTCGCTGTTGCCAAGATCTTTATTGACGAGTTTGACTCCGTGTGTGTGTGTGTGTGTATGTGGGTGCGCGCGCGTTTGCGCATGTGTGTGTGTATATTCTCACACAGGCGTTGAGCTGCTTTCTGACACTTCAGCCGACGAATTCCTTTCTTGATCGCAGGATGTGCAGGTGCGTAGAATCCAGTCGCCTATGCACAGCATTTTTGAACAGGAGTGTAGGATGCATCACATGCCACCTGGCTTGAAATTTGATCCCGGGGTGCAGCAAAGAACTATGCGATCGATCGTTGTGCCGTTGTAAGCTTATGTCACATTAGACATGGTGGAACTAAAGCCTTAAACTACAGCCAAGAGGAAAACTTCATGGTTGGAAAGTGAACCTCCTACCATAATCCCACAAGGAAATAATAGTTTCACCCAGAGCATGAAAATGTTGTCGATAGGGACTTTCTCTTACAGGTCTAAAAGAGCATAAACTATTTGCTATATTCGTGCACCTCCCCCCCCCCCCTCCCCCCTCCCCCCCCCCCCTCCCCGTCAAGTTAGTACGGGTTTGACCACTAAGTTTGAAAGTAAGCACGTACTTATTTACGGACCTTTACGATAATGTATAGTAAGTCTAAATGCATCTTACCTGTGTGTGTGTGTGTGTGTGTGTGTGTGTGTGTGTGTGTGTGTGTGTGTGTGTGTGTGTGTGTGTGTGTGTGTGTGTGTGTGTGTGTGTGTGTGTGCGTATGTGTGCGTGTGTGTGTGTGTGCGTGTGTGTGTGTGCACGTGCCTGTGCATGCATGTTTTAGGGCAAGCTGTGATTGGCTTCTAGGCAGTTGCAAGAAAGAAAACCCCGGTGTTGACGAACGGTCTTGTGAACACGCTGATGGAGAGTATTTTGCGAACACAACCGACTGTTTGGACCTGGAAGATTTCATTGGTAAGAAGAACATGTAGATTAACCCTGGTTCAGTCTTCAGTGATGCCCTGCATGGCATTATTGTTTCATTTCGTACCTGACGATGGCAATTTTCCCCGAAACGTTGTGCGTAAAGGAATTGGTTCGGTTTGCAGTGCTGTGGGAATGGGTGTGTCCACCCAACTACTCTCTACGGATGAAGCTGCAAGATGCCTCGAAATTACTTCTCATTCAGTGAAAAAATGATTGATAAACCTTCTTTGATTTTGTAACCTCGCCGGCTTAGTCAAGTAGTTTGCCCCTTGAGGTTGCTCCAGTCGACGATAAGGGATATCGATGTTCTGCTTTAGACCGGGACAGAGTTATGCATTGTGACAATACCTAGAATAGCAGTACTGATTGAGGAGTGTTGTAATTTGCAGCGAAGAGACCACTTGGATTGAAGATGGTGTGTGTGTAAGGTTTTCCATTTAACGAAGTGGCTGCAGTGGAGCTTTGCGCACATTAAGAGCTGTACTCTTGTTACTTTGAACTCGGATGGTGAGCCAATGTAATCAAGGATATAAAGGAGAAGGACGAAAATGGTACGAGTTAGGACTAACTGTCCAGCAACGTACCGGTATACAGTCAGCAAGTGCGACAACAAGACACACAACTGACAGTGTGAATGTCTCAGTACTCCCTGCCAGTTGTGTGCCTTTGTGGCGTAGTAAAACATATCGCTTCTCTAGCCTGCATGCTCGGTCGAAGGGAGACATGTGGGAGCGAGGGTTTTTTTATCTCAAAACATTTCAACCCTGGCCTGCAGACTAGGGGCGCGTTTGGTTGGTACGAACTAGAACAGGATTCACCAGAACAGCGCGTTTGGTTGGGACTGCACCTGTTCTGGGTCGGCCAGAACATGTTCTGCTTGCTCCGGCCTCGAGGCCGGAGCAGACCGAGCAGTTTCACTTTTTCACAGTGAAACCTGGCGGGAACATCGATTTTGGTCCCAAATGATCACGTGCATACGCTTTTGGGTTGGTTTCGTCGTACCGTACAAAGTGACCATGGTGACCCATACACATTTTGAAGGATGCACCAAGTTTGGCACATTTTCCACAAAAATGTGCTCTGTTTCTGGAGTACCGTTTGGTTGGCATGAGGCTGCTCCATGTGCACCAGCTGTTCGATCCTGTTCTAGATCGTACCAACCAAACGCACCCTAATACTTGGGTGGGCTTATCCGCGGGATTCTACGATATGTAACGTAGAAACAAACCAGAAAAAAACAATAACTTCAAGGTGTTGTTGGGAGTTGAAAATGGAAGAAAAAAAAGATTGCCTGGAGAACCCGGGTATCGATCCCGGTACCTCTCGCATGCTAAGCGAGCGCTCTACCATGTGAGCTAGTCCCCCTGCACATTGACACTGGGGCTGTTCAGGGATTATATGCCTGGCATAGTCTGTTCTAATGTCACAATGAGTGCATAACTCCTCAGAGCATGCCATTGGTGATGGGAAGGTCACCGTACAGTAAAACCAAGAGTGCATAACTCCCCAAGAGTGTGCAACTCCCACATTATGTGACATACCCTGCTGTCCCGACAGAATTTCACGTTGATGTCATTATTTACGATGCAATGCTCCTTCCACCAGTGATTTGCAACATGTGCACGGGTGTCAACGCGTCGCACGTTTTCGTTGCAATAATCTGTACAGGATCAGATGGGCTTTGGTCCACCACAGGTTCCGGATTCGTCTGATAATCCGTGTACAGTGCGCATTGCATCATAAAAATGACTTCAACTTTAAATTCTGTCGGGACAGCAGCCATAGTCGAGTTGCATACTCGTGGGGGGGGGGGGGGGGGTATGTACTAGTACTCTTGGAAAACCTGTCAGGGAGACCACTCGGATAAACCTGTCAGGGAGACCACTCGGATAAGGCGACCACCTGTCCAAGAAGACAGGTGCCACCCAGGGTCAAAGGATGCTATTTCCAGTCGAATAACCCTGGATAAGGAGACCACCTGGTTACAAAGAACACTGAAGGTCACTTGAGCGGTCGTTGTTGGCACGTTTCATTGTAGTTGTCAGGACTTGTTTTTTTTGTTTTTGTTTTTTTTTAACTCGAATCGGAGCCTTGTTGTTTGTGCCTTGGAGAAGTGTTGGAGCTAGGTGTCAGGTCGCTGAATGTCTCAGTACAGTTTTGTGCCATTTGTAGCACTCGCTGACTTTATTATGATCTGGTTACGTCATAACCTATAACATTGTTCCTCCTTTTTTTGTGTTTTTGGTTGTATTCAGATGTACCTGCAAGATCAATACAACAGTCGTGTAAGTGCTAGCTGTGTTTCTATGCCCCCTGTGGCTGTCTATCAGTTTATCACAGGGCTGACGCTCTCTCCACCCCATTGGTATGGGATACTCTCCTGATCATATGTCCGTCCGTCCGTCCGCCCGCCCGCCCGTCCGTCTTCCTGTCTGTGTGTTCTGTCCATGCTCCTCTTTGTCTCTGTCAGTCTTACGACTTGCACATGCAGTAAAACTCCCCAGGTACGGATGCCCCTAATCCGGGCACGTCCGTCTACCAGGTACCTTTCTGACCCATCTGGAATTACAAAAATGGCTTTTCACCAAAGAAGCCCCAACACTTTATTGTGTGTGATGCTGACTTGAGTGCTTCTTTCATTGTGTGCTATGCTGTGCTATGCTGTGTTGTGCTATGCTGTGCTGCAGTCGACACCATAACCAACCCTTGCATACCCAATCCCTGTGAACATCAGATGTGCGTGGTGAATCGTGATTGCCAGAAGAGCGGTAACTGCAGAGCTAATCACACTTGTGTTCCTGGTAGGTAATATCAAAATACTGTAATCACACGTGTGTTCCTGGTAGGTGAAGCTAACATGCCATATTTCCCGGAGTATAAGCCGCACTGCAGCATACAGACATTTATCCTATTTATCACCATTAATCGGATCATCGGAGTATAAGCCGCACCCCCCTTTTTGGGGGTGAATTTTGAGTGTTGAAAGTGCGGCTTACACTCCGGAAAATGCGGTACTTGTCACGTTGAGGTTATTTTCATGATATTCAGATCATCTTTCCAGTTTGGACATTTGCTCCCCCCCCCCACCTTCCCGACACACACACACACATACTTTGCCCTGCATTTCTCTCTTCCTCCATCGCCCACACACGTACACACACTGACGTGCACGCATATGCAAATGCAAATTCACACACCCACACACACACACGCACGCACACACGCACGCACACACATACACCCACACACACGCACACACTCGCAATCGCACACACACATGGTTCATGTCGCTCTACTCGCAACCCAGTCCATCCGAATCCTTCGTAGCCAGATGGTTGGCCAATGCATCAGATGTCATACTGCTATGCGTACGTGCGTGCGTGTGTGTGTGTTTGTGTGTGTGTATGTGTGTATGTGTGCATGTGTGTTGGTTTGTAGGCTGTGCCCTGGACTCTTCACATACGTATGTCTTTGATAAGCACTGGGTCAAGGTAAGATTGCAAGCTGTGAAACTTGGTAGCATCCAGAGGTTGCTGCTTTGCATATGATACATGAGAACAGATCACACGATCACATGATCACGTGATGACATGATGACACGAACACATGATCACATGGTCACATGATCACATGGTCACATGATAACATGGTCACATGACCACACGATGACACGATGACATGGTCACATGATCACATAATCACATGATCATAATCACATGATCACATCATCTTCGCATATAGCCAAGAGTAGATAAACAAGAGTGTGCAACTCGCGGATGGGTTGGCCCACGGCGGAATTTTTTGTTGACGTAATCTTTTCGACGACGCACGCGCTGCGAGTCTTTCGGAAAGTTTTCCCTCGTGCTCTTGGCCGGGCTTTACACTGTAAGGTCGGTGTCCAGCACGTGCTCTCACACTGCTCTGCGGCAAACTGCGCGTTTCTCTGAAAAAAGGTGACGTCAACAAAAAATTCCGCCGTGGGCGGGGGTATCTGCAGATTGTGCAGGAGAGATCCGGAGTTGCACACTCTTGTTTATCTACTCTTGATATAGCCCATGACCATAGCACTGTCTCGGACATGGAAGTCCGGTCGAATGACGCGGGGCCGGCGCCCTCAGTGCGTAAAGAACGTCGAATGCAGTGCACATGTTGATCGTATGCGTACTCATGGCTGCATGGCCAGCACTCTGGGGGCCGCTTGACCGTTGACCGAATTTCCATGTCCACGACAGTAACGCATAATTCTTGCAAGGTACGTTCGGGCCTGGTTTAAATCTGGCTTTGGACAATTTCTTTTTCATTGCCGTCAGGTTCGACCTCATTTTTCTCTGTGCTGCGCTGATGAGTCCAGAAAGGACAAAACAGTTCTGTCTGCAGATTGAGTACACAGTCGGTTATATACAAGTAGGTTATGCTTAATGCTGTAGACAGCAAGCTGTTTTGCCATAGAGGCCAGAGTGTACAGCTCGGATGGGTTGCTGCCACGGCGGAATTCCGTGATTACATCATTTTAGTGATGTAATGCGTACAAGCAGGATTCAAGCAGGTCACTTTCTGCACAACTGCAGCTCAGTTGTACGCACTACGCCGTTTCCCACCTCAGATCTGCACCAAATATGATGTCATGGAATTCCGCCGTGACAGACACCCATAGTAGAAAAAGCCCCAAGCTGCACACTCTGGTTTTCATTTGCTCTTGGTTATGTGTATGTGTATGATTGTGTACTCTTCTGTTCACTTGGTGTGTAGATGTCTCCCACATCCTACACCATCAACACGTCTCTCATATCTACACGCTACTGTCAGTGTAATGCCACCGAGCATGGGTTCAATCGCTGCGTTACCATGGTGAAGTCGCCGGGGAAACAGTGCAACACCAGTGAAGGTGAGACACTTCTCATCTAGCCTCTCAACAGGCAAACTTGGTTGGTCCGGTCTCACACCTGATTCGGTCTCTCGCCTACCAGGGCCTGCGTTGCCCAGTCCCTGCCGATGATCCTGGGTCACAGTATCTGGAGCTGGCGTATCCCCCCCCCCCCCCCACCCCTCTCCATGCCTTTCTTACCCAGTTCCTGCATCCTGGGTCAGTATCTGGGGCTGGTGTACCCCCTTCCCCCTCTCCATCCAGGGCCTTTCTTACCCAATCCCTGCACCGCGAGTCACAGTATCTGGGGCTGGCTTATCCTACCCCCCCCCCCCACCCCTCCCACCCAGGTCTAAGCTGGTACCACAAATCTTGTCCTCTCTTACAGAGCTCGGTATCTCTGTCCTCCCTCACCTTGTAGTTGTTAAAGAGAGAAAGAACGAGAGAGAGAGAGAGAGAGAGAGAGAGAGAGAGAGAGAGAGAGAGAGAGAGAGAGAGAGAGAGAGAGAGAGAGAGAGAGAGAGAGAGAGAGAGAGAGAGTGTGTGTGTGTGTGTGTGTGTGTGTGTGAAAGTGTGTGTGTGTGTGTGTGTGTGTGTGTGTGTGTGTGTGTGTGTGTGAAAGTGTGTGTGTGTGTGTGTGTGTGTGTGTGTGTGTGTGTGTGTGTGTGTGTGTGTGTGAGTTTGCAGTTGTAGGAAGCTTGTATCTGAACCAGCTGAAACATGCTGAGAGAAGAGAACACAATCTTGGAACAATACACGGCGACGTGTTGATAATTTGAAGAAACTGCTGATTGTGTCGAGTGCAACGTAGCAACACACAGCATGCTGATTGTAGTTAATTTCCCGGTTTCCGTGAATTGTGAATGCGTTCATGTGTGCATGTGCGTGTGCATGTGTGCGTACGTGTATACATGCATGCATGCATGGCCGTGTGCATATCTGTGTCCATGTGACTGCACATAAATGCAGGCGCTGAAGATGGAACGCATTACACGAACAGCGATGGAGACCCATGTCTCTGTGACGACGGTCATGAGAGGTGTTTGGTGAACCTCACCCGCCTAGCTAGCACCTTGGAAGCAAATGATTTCTTCACCCAGTACGCCCTGGTACCTTCCATTAGCCATGGTAAGCAAACTGACATTCTTCATCCACTATGCCCTGATACCCCTCCATTAGCCATGGTAAGCAAACTGACATTCTTCATCCACTATGCCCTGATACCCCTCCATTAGCCATGGTAAGCAAACTGACATTCTTCATCCACTATGCCCTGATACCCCTCCATTAGCCATGGTAAGCAAACTGCCACTGACTTCTTCATCCACTATGCCCTGATACCCCTCCATTAGCCATGGTAAGCAAACTGCCACTGACTTCTTCATCCACTATGCCCTGGTACCCCTCCATTAGCCATGGTAAGCAAACTGACTTCTTCATCCACTATGCCCTGGTCAGGCACGTGGCGCCGCCGTTGGAGGTGATCCAGCTGGAGGGGAGGGCGGGGGGGGGGGGGGGGGTCCGGGTGTCCCCCATGAAAGTTTTGAAATTTGGGTGCAAAATCCTGCATTCTGGGCACTTTTGGCATCGTGTTAAAAAAAAGTGGTCCGGCTGCTACACCCCTGGTGATGCCTTCCATTGGCCATAATGAGCTGGGTTACTTTGTGTGCTGTTAAGGAGGCTCCGAACAGTTGCGCAGCGCAGTGTAAAAAGGGCACCTCGAGAATCTGTTTTTTGCCGCGAGATTCAAAAAATATCGTGTTCCATGCGGAAACAAGCTGTTGTTCAGAAAGAAGTTTTTTGATTCTCTGTGCTCCAGGATGTACTTGTTCTACTCGTTGCAGTGTTTCTGTAGCCGTGGCAGTTTCTACGCTGGAAAGAATCACTGGCCATGGCTAATGCAAAACAAAGGCAGTTCCTACGCTGCTTGATTTTTTCTGAAAAACTTTGCTGAAGCGGTACGCGGTGGCCACGAAGAACAAAATAATAATTACTGACGAAGAATGATGAGAAAAGCAGGCTGAAGTCAGTGAAGACATCGATGTCGAATGTAGTGATACTAGTACTGGTATTTAGTATGGACTACCTGTGGAGCGTGAAGTGGCTGCCCACTCGCTGGTAAGTGGACCCACTTGCAGCTCCAGTCGCACGAGTGCCATTTGAAACTTTCTGTGGCTCCTTGAGTATCCTGAGCTCAGTGGACGACGCATCTCAGAGCTGCTGAACATGGGCTACTGTCCCTGTAGAAATGAGATTCGTGTCAACCACTGTACTGTAGTCTGTACTGATGGTGTAAGGAAAACGCTCCCCAGAAGCTTGTGTTGTGAACCAGGGACGAACTTCTAAATCCTGCTCTTGTAAAAATGGGGATGTCACAACTAAGATATGCACACTCAGGTGTGCATGGGGTAATTGTCTATGGCTGCATATTTTGAATCCTTTCCTATGCGCAAGTACATGCGTTTGTGTGTGTGTACGCGCGCGTGCGTGTGTTTGTGTACGCGCGCGCGCGCGCGTGTGTGTGTTTGTGTACGCGCGCATGTGTGTGTTTGTGTACGTGCACGCGCGCGCGTGTGTGTATACGCGTGCACGCATGCGTGTGTTTGCAAGCTGTTGAAAGGTGTAATCCGAGCGCAAGTTGCTATGTCTAACGTAGTTTGTTCGCTATCCTCGCTTCAGCGTTGAGCAGGTGTATGAGTGTGTGTGTGCGCATGTGTGTGTGTGTGCACGCGTGTGTATGCGCGCATGTGTGTGCGCGCGCGTGCTCGTGCCCGCATGTGTGGGTTCGTACGCAATGTTGATCTGGGTTATGCACATGTTCCCACGAGTGCACTGGGTGCATGTGCATGCAAATGTACATGTACAGTCAAACCTCGTTAGGACGAACTTCAAGGGACTGAACAAATTTGTTTGTCTTATCGGGAGTTCTTCTTATCCAGATCTGACAAAAAATCGATATGCATATCAGATGGATTGTATTTACGTGAAGGTGCATGCTGTGGTACATGGGAAGCATGTTATTCTTAGCATACGCCAGAAACAGGTAATTACAATGACAAAGTGCAATGAATCACGACTGTGTCGAAAGTAACGTGTTAGTTCGTACAACGCACTGATTATTTTGTTCAAAACACGCTTGAAAACAATTTGCACTGAACGTAGAATATGACCTCGACTATTGAAAAAAGAAGAAGAAAAAAGGCAGCCAGCGCACGCACACACTCGTGGACGGTGCTGGTTCTGTATGGCTCTCCTCTCTGGTGTCCGCAAGGACAGTGTGGCAGTGGCTTTACAGTTCAGGAGGTGCATGTGAATGCGCATTTGTGAACCGCATTCGAGACACCAAAAAGAGTTGCCAAGAGGTCATGACAGTACACTATATCGTATGTGTGCACGCCAGCGTGTGTAGATGCATATTGCCCTTCATGCGTATGTTTTTCTGGAGTCTGCTGCTATGAACACAAGTGACAACCAGCAAATGCATGCCCAGTGCAGTGGCTGGTTTTCATGCTTCTATTTACACTAAGTCCTACTAACGTTATGTGCTAGTAGTGTTACAATGATGCGTGCACGAGAGTGGGTGGGTGTTTATGTGCGTGTGCACGCACGCGTGTGAGTGTTTAGTGTGCCTGATTTTGAATGCCTGCTTTCACATTATCCATGTGCCAGTTTCATGGTCGAGGATGTTATGAAACCTCGCTGCCTTACATGTACATGTACACTACTCGTATATCAATGTGCTAGGACTGAAGGCTACATGACATACATGTAGATGTAATTATACATGTACCTTTCCAAGCACAGACTATCTGGTATGTCCAAAGGAGGTTGCAGCATGAAAATAACTTCTTCTAAAATATAATTATTACCATACCACCATGTCATTGGTAGTGTTATTTAGTCAAGAAGGCAAGAATGGTCAGATTTTCTAAAAATGCTATTTTCGGAATTGGCCTTGAAATGCCATATTTTGACACCTATATTGTTTCGTAGGGGCCTAAAGTGCCTGGTGACACCATCAAAACTGTCTATTATCGGTTTCCTTGGGGCTCAAGGATCACAGAAAGCCACAAAAATCAATATGTCCATGGACAAAATGTTGCAGGCTGAACCATTTCACAATTCAGCTCCCGATGGAAATTTCGGTACCCGTAATTTCGAGAAAGTGGCTCACCAAGGGCAAAACCAAGACACAGTCTATCTTGTGTACCCAAGATACCTCCAAACGTGGTTCTTAAACACATGATGAAGAAAATACTTAGTATCTTCCTTCCAGTAGGCTTCTTTGGGTCAAAAACCAATTTTTTTACCATTTTTTTTGCCGAAAATAAAGAAATTGTACACTCACTAAATACACCAGAATACCTCTTATATGCCTGGTGACCCTACCTAAAAACTATACCAAATTGAAGAGGAGATATCACTCCACCATTCTATGCATAAAAAACAGGGTGTCCATGGACCTTTTATTTTTACTTCTTTAGGTGGGAGCCTCCTTAACATTCTACTCTGCTGTGCTGAACTTGATGAAGTTGATCAGAGTGTAACAAGCAATGTTAAATTACTCGAAAGAGAATGATAGTGAATTACCGAGAATCACATTACAGGAGAACAAAGTAGTAAGCTTAGATAAAAAAATTGATCAATGTTGGCAACTATTGATCATGCATCTTGTTTCTGTGTGTGTGTGTATTTGTGTGTGTGTTTGGGTGTTTGTGCATGTGTGTGTGTGTGCGCGCACGCACGTCTGTGCCTGCATGTGTGCATGCATGCGTATGGACGCGGGATCTGGCCCGGCCGCACACGTGTGTATGTGCGTTTGTATGTGTGTTCATTCTCTGATTATGTCTTTGCAGCAGATGAGCCATGCCATAATTGTGAGAAGGATGTGATGGTTCCAGTGTGCGGTGCTGACGGCAGGGTCTACAGGAACAAATGCTTTGCAGCGTGAGTCGCTTTAAGTTCGACACCCCCTCCCCAACATCACCAACATTGATATATACACACACACATACTGAGCACACACGCATACGCGAGCGCAGACACACACACACACACACACACACACGCACACACACATGTGTGGAGCTGACTGAGCTCTTGTTCGGCAACTGTTGTCTCTCTTTCAGACCTGGCAACGTGCTCATCTTGTAATTGTTCAGAATTCCTTCATGTTACTAACTGGTCTCGTCATCGTCATGTAGCAGTCAGCATTCTTTGTTCCCGTGGGACTTAGCTTGTGCACGTTTTCGCTGCGCCCACCTTCCCGTCTTCGGTCCTACCTAACCATGGACCTTCCAAGTTGGAAGGCTGTTGGTTTGCGCACTGGAGATGTGTTAGAGCTAGGTCTCAGGTCGTTGAATGTCTCAGCAGCCTGTCAGTTTTGTGCCCTGTTATTGCACTTTCTGCGGACTGCTTCTTATGTTGTTACACTCATGGACAGTTGCGTCATAACTCGTTCACAAGTGCTTTCTTCTATTTTACACTTCCTGCCACCTTGCAACGTTCTTTGGGACTGACAACGTGCTTGTGGTGTCGGGTATCATTTATCGTTGCTGATACTTTAGGTTCAACAAGGCATTACCCCAAACTGCAGGACTTGACTGTATGGATCGACGTGACTCAATTTGTCGATGCAAACAAGGGCAAAAGTAAGAACCACGTCGACAGTTTGTTTAGGTGTATGTGGCAGCACACTCGCTGATGTGTCTTGAAGTAGTTGTGTGTGTGTGTGTGTGTGTGTGTGTGTGTGTGTGTGTGTGTGTGTGCATGTGTGTGTGTGTGTGTGTGTGTGTGTGTGTGTGCGTGCGTGTTTGTGTGTTCGTGTTTGTGCGTGTGTGTGTGTGTGTGTGTGTGTGTGTGTGTGTGTGTGTAGGGGTGTGTGTTCGTGCGTGCGTGCGTGTGCTCGTCTACTGTGCGTGTGTGTGTGTGTGTGTGTGTGTGTGTGTGTGTGTGTGTGTGTGTGTGTAGAGAGAATAGAGATTCACTGCAAAAGAATAAGCCACCCCAATCAGCTGTGTGGTGTAGACCAGGCTAAATTAGTGGCGGCCGGTCGGTTAATCAGCCTTGCAAGCTGTTGAATGGTGTAATCCCAGCACAAGTTGCTATGTCAAACATAGCTGTTCGCTATCATCGCTTCAGCAATGGGCATGTGTGAATGTAAGTGCAAACGTGTGTGTGTGTGTGTGTGTGTGTGTGTGTGTGTGCGTGTGTTTGTGTGTTCGTGTGTGTGTGTGTATGCGATCATGCATGTGCTGTTTTCGCGTGCTCCCAGTTGTGTTCCCAGGCCGGGCATATGCTTGTCAGACACAGCAGCTTGTCCACAGTACGCGTGCGGTAAGTCGATCTCCACACACTGTATTATCACTCACCCTATCTACACAGCAGGGTTCTAGCCAAAGGGGGGTAGGGGCGGAAGTGCAGCCCCCCCCCCCATTCTCTGATTGAGCGCCCCCTTCGAAAAGTGGCGCCCCTCTACTCATTTGTCGATTTTTGTGTTTTTTTAAATGTCATTCAAGGAAACGCTGTAGCTGAACACTACAAGAGGGTTCATAAAAGCACATTTGTCTGGGCTGGAGTCGGGTTTTCACCCCCGTGCGCTGGCACATTTGTCTGGGCTGCAGTCGGGTTTTCACCCCCGTGCGCTGGCACATTTGTCTGGGCTGCAGTCGGGTTTTCATCCCCGTGCGCTGGCACATTTGTCTGGGCTGCAGTCGGGTGTTCATCCCCGTGCGCTGGCACATTTGTCTGGGCTGCAGTCGGGTGTTCATCCCCGTGCGCTGGCACATTTGTCTGGGGTGGAGTCGGGTGTTCACCCCCGTGCGCTGGCACATTTGTCTGGGGTGGAGTCGGGTGTTCACCCCCGTGCGCTGGCACATTTGTCTGGGCTGGAGTCGGGTGTTCATCCCCGTGCGCTGGCACATTTGTCTGGGCTGCAGTCGGGTGTTCATCCCCGTGCGCTGGCACATTTGTCTGGGGTGGAGTCGGGTGTTCACCCCCGTGCGCTGGCACATTTGTCTGGGGTGGAGTCGGGTGTTCACCCCCGTGCGCTGGCACATTTGCCTGGGCTGGAGTCGGGTTTTCATCCCCGTGCGCTGGCACATTTGTCTGGGCTGGAGTCGGGTTTTCATCCCCGTGCGCTGGCACATTTGTCTGGGCTGGAGTCGGGTTTTCACCCCCGTGCGCTGGCACATTTGTCTGGGCTGCAGTCGGGTGTTCATCCCCGTACGCTGGCACATTTGTCTGGGCTGCAGTCGGGTGTTCACCCCCGTGCGCTGGCACATTTGTCTGGGCTGGAATCGGGTGTTCACCCCCGTGCGCTGCAATGGGGCAACTGTTTCCCCGCTCGCCTCTCTACTATTTTGACCTGGCCAGACACATTGCACGGTATTAACTAAGCTCCTGGCACCCGTTACCCATGGTAACAGTGCCGCCTCTACAATGCTGTATTGAAGAGGATTCACAATTAAAGAAACAGAGGTGATTGTGAAGGCATTGCTGCTGGAAAAACAATGAGCGATGGAGACAGAGCGACGTTGAACTACATGAGTACATGATATGTAGCAAGTACTGAGAGCGGCTCCGAGACTAAGAGACACAACTAGACAGTGTCTGCTGCAGAACCAGGTCAGCCGGGTCGGCAACCCCGGGTTGGGGGTACTTGGACCTGTGGTTGGGGGTACTTGGACTTGTGGTTGGGGGGGGGGGGGGGGTACTTGGACCTGTGG